GTATCTTCCAACAAGGTTTCTACATCAACGAGCGAGCTCATAAAATTGGACACATAAATGGATGTTGTCCAAGAGTATGCAACTCTCCTAAGATGGTCCAACACATTTTCTTTTACTGTCCCTTTTCTCAGAAGGTCTGATCGGCGGAAATACAACTAAGGTGGTGTATACCAACATGAGAAAATATCTTCAAGACAACTTAATCATTGATACATCTCCTCGACCTCAACGTGCAAAACCAACAAAGAACTTATTCTACATCTAAGAGGATGTTGACTACAGAGGTATGCAAACATCTATGACTGAGTAGAAATCATTTCTTGTATGAGCAAGAAATATTACTTGTATGTCTTCATGCTAGGGTTAGAAATACTATGGACAAAGCAATAGTCATATGGAAAGAAATTACAGATTCTACTCCCCCACACATATGCTTAGAATTTGCAATTTTATTATTGTAATTATCTATTAAAAATGAAAAAAAATTTATTGATAAAAATATTATTTTTTCTGTTCAAAAAATTCAAAAAATTTGAAATAATATTTTTTTCCAATATATATTGTCAATCTATTTTTAAAAAAGCTTATTTTTATGAATTATATGATTATGAAGAGCAATTTTTTATATTAATAATTTTTTATGTTTTTAGATTTTGACTACATTTCTTTTCATATTAAATCATAGATCTAAAATGTTTCGAGCTTTTGTTACTTTTCAAATGGATATAAAATAAAGTCAAAGAATTTCAATTTTTAGAATCTGATTTTGTTGTAGCTGCATTGCAGCATGAAATCAATGTATCAAACATTTAAAATGTTGATTTCAATTATTAAGTCATTGATCATTTCACTAAAAAATTCAAACTCACTGTCAATGCACACACAAACACAAAGCTTTCACTGGACATACATGATTTGTCACTAAGGATAATTTCAAGCTTTACCGAGAAAAATATTTCAAAATGTCATTAAGAGCTTGTGTGAAGTCTGTTATATAATGTCAATCTAACTAGTTGTAATTAAATTAAACAAAATTAATTGAAGACTTGAATTGAATCCTAACGTTAGCATCAAAAGTTGTTTGTACATATATTTATGGTTTTGTACAAGCTTTTTTAGTGAATGTAGATTTGAGATAAACTTCATGTGGACCTAGGTAATGGAACATATATATATTAGTCCATTATCTATAAAGCTATATTCAATTTATTCAAACAAATCACTCTAAATTTACACTAGTTTTCTACACAAGGCATAAAAACAATTGGGTTGAGTGATGAATATCCTTATCAATTATTAAACTCAGTAACGACTGTGATACACATTAGACAATTTCTTCAAAACTTTAAGATTTAGACACCAGATTCGGAACATACATTATTATCTTTTTCCACCCTACTTGAAGATGCCAGTAGATTCTTGATATTTAAATTGAAAACTTTGCCTCACATAAACTCGTTCTTATGTGCAAATTGAAATTTTAATATCCTCATGTATGCTTATCAAATGTATCCTGAGGCAGTTGCATTTATATTTACAGTTGCATAGATTTCTTGTTCACAGATGATGTCAATTTGGATCTCCTACACTAGTTGGTCCAATGTCACTAGATGTACTTAGAAGGTAGAAGAGACATTTTTGTGTCATAATGGTTCTATTCTTCTGAAGGTATTAAAAATTTCTCTTCCTCCCAAGGAATATCTTTCTATTGTACTATACTAAACCTAATGGTTGAAACAACTTGCATGATCACCTCTACTCGAGACCATGTCTTTCTAGTACATATGCACGCTCCCGTTGTTTAATCTACGATGTGCTAGCACAATCCCTTATTTTATTCCTCTCTGCCAACTTCAGCCACAAACCAAAGCAGCAGGATCTTAAATAATTAAAAAAAAGTACAGGCCTCAAGGGAAGGGCTGTGTTTCACCTGAACGTGGATGTGAAATGTAAAAGTGTCTTTCAAACGAAAAGGGACCGAGCAATGGAGCAAAAAGACGGGAGCCCCCCACAGAAAGTCGTACAGAGGAGAAACCTTTAAAGTAGTTATACTAAATAAATCTTGCACCAAAATTACATCATAAAGTCAGAAGTGGACTTAAAATAATGACGGCATATGATCTAGACCTATCCTGCACTGTGGGCACCAATAGACGTGATGAGAGCAATAAAACAGGGCAGCGAGACTAGGTCAAACGGTAAGACCTCGGTAAAAGAGAAAATCGAGATAACGAGACCCGAGGACGGAGATAAGTGAGAAACAATAATGGCGAGCAACGGAGCCACTTTAATCCCAAAAGGCCAAAAGCGAATCCAAGAGAAACAGGAAAAGGCGAAGTATTCACGGTGAGGGTGAAACGAGGGACGAGGAGGAGGAGGGCTGCCGGACGCACGGAGAGTTTAGTGGAGCCGGAAATGCGAACATGGTCGGGAACATGCGGCGGGGGAGGATAGAGGGTCCAGATGTCAGCGCGGTGCTGCAGCATGGGGGGCACCGGGAGAGAGAGAGTTACGGGATGTCTGGAGTGAATGCGGCAGAGGTACCGGTAAAAGTGCTGGGCCTGAGAGGACAGGACAGGCCCAGCAGGTTTCCCCGTTTCCCAGGCGGTGGGGAGCGCATGCAGGCAGGCGCGCGCGGTGGACGACGGTGAGTGACGTTCACGTGCAGCAGCAGCAGCGCGGGAAGGGCCGGGCAGGGCCGGGCAGGCCGGGCTCCATGTCGACCGAGCGAAACGTATAAAGAACCGACGGAGCCGTCGTCTTCTCTTCGCTATTTGCGCGCTTCGCAGCCTCTGGTCGCTTCCATGGCGATAATTACCGAGCACCGAATCGAGGTCGATCGATTTTCATCTCGCGCTTTCTCGAATCATTTTCCTCCTCTTCCTCCTCGTGCTCCTGCCGCTGGTGCAACGCTTTCTCTGCATCCTCGAGTGCCAATTTTTGCCGTCGCGGAAAGCGCCTGAAGCTCTCTCCGAGTCCCCTTTTCGGTGCAAGCGCAAGAGAAGCGCAACCTCGTCGCCTCTTGGACGTCGAGACCTTTCTGCGTCCGGGGAGTGATGGAGACAGTGCACGTTCGGACGCCGGGACGAATGGTCACTTAGAGAAATGCTTATTTTATGTGGAGGGAAGAATATTGTCACCTCGGAGTCGAAGGGGGCATGAGATGTGGAAACCGGCCGTGACATCAGATTGATTGCAAGAGTGCGGAAGGTTGTCGACTTGAGGAGGAACGCGCGGACGAGAGAATGTCAAAGATACGGTTCGTAATGTCAGAGGGTAGGGTGGGGGTGGGGAGGGATAGAATGGAATGGAATGGTATGGGAAGGGGATATGGCTCGAACTTGTGTCGGTTGATAAACGATAGAGACGGAACATGCACGCATCATAATTCCAACATGTATATCAGATCAGATATGCACTAGTGCGTCTCGCGTTGATCGGGTCGGGAGGCTGTACCTTGGGAATTCTAGTCGTTCCAAAATAGAGAAAAGAAGCTCGTCGCGATCTCATCTTGAAAAGATGGGTCTTTTGAAGATCTCCCACATAACGACTTGCGAGGTCATTTTAACGACAAATCCACATAACCCAAACCTTTTTTCCTCAATAATAATTTCCCGACGGGGAGCTTCTCGTCCTTCCACCTGTTAGGCTGAAGTCGTAGGTGTCAGCAGTGAAAATGAGCGAAGATTTTTCAAGTGCAATGAATAAATGGTTTCATGATTGATTCCCTTGGGGGAGTTAGTTGGGAATAGTTGGTGTTTAAGATCGACCCCGGGCGTATTTCGTTGTATGAGGACAAATGGAAGACACAGGTTATTCATTCATTAGGTGTCTGCATGCCCCATCATGTGAAGAGGGCGATTGATCCTACAAGATTTGGCCCCAGAATAGGTGTACCTGACATGATCCCTGAATTTCATCAAAACAATCATTCTGCTTTTGGGATATGCCATTCCGCCTTTAATTTTTCTAGGCCCCGGGTTGCAGGAAACGAAAAGGCCCAGTGCATGGCACACTTTTACCTGGTCTTCGATCTCGCTTAAACTATCTTTTCCCTAAAGCTTGCCTTTGTAGGAGCCAGGAGACACAAGATCCACAAATATCATCGACCGAATCATGTACCTTCCCAGGCTACCATAGGCCGACTATGATGAGCAGAATTCTATGCTGTGTCAACACCGTCATCCCGTGGATTCACCTTTCTCAAGGCCCCTCCCCTCTCCTCCCCTCCCCTCCCTCCAGTCCCCTCCGCTAGGCTCTGTATGTGAGACGGGCCCGGACTTCTCTTCTATCCAGGTCTTGGAGATTCTCGTCCCTTTCGGGTCGTCGAATTGCACGTAAACGAAGACCGTCCGCCCGCCGAAAGAGTGCTCTGCTGCTGTTGACTGGGCTGCTTTCCTTCACTTTCCCTTTCCCTTTCTATTCTTTCCCTTCCCTTCGACCTACGCATCGCACAGAGCTTGGAGGTTGATGCCCAAACCTTCGTGCCATCCCAGCCTCGGAAGAATTCACGGAAAGAGCTTTTCGGTCCCTCTTACTCGAGGATCGATATCGAGTGTAAATATGCGACTACTCTCAAGTGCGTGCCTCTGTGTTCTCTCTCCTTCCTCAAATGCTGCACTGGTCTCCGTGTACGGGACGACGTTCACCATCGGCTAGTATCTATGATATCCCGAGCAGTATGACAGCCTCTTCCCTGACCTGACGTTCGTGCATGCTTCATGAGATGGTTCTTACTATCATAGGAGATCTGATACTCAGTTGACCAACGCTATGCATTGCAGTCTTGAACAGGTTCTCGTAATTAAGCACTCGTTGTCGGCCTCGAAATGCTCAGCGAGATCATCCTTTCCAAGCGCCGAAAAGGCGTGCAACAAGCACCCGCAGGGCACGCTACATGACACCTTCTACTTTCGGTAGCGATGGGAGGCGCACTAAAAAAGAAAGCTCCATAACGTCAAATGCACAAGGCAGGCCACTGACCCGACAACAACAGCACCAGCGAGAAATTCTGCTCGAAGAAATTCATCTGGGAGAGGAGAAAAACTCGGGAGAATTGGTTCTAGGTAAACTTTATTAGATGAGGAAATCGAAAATTTGCTTGGCTTCGGCTCTGGACCATTCGAGGACGCCACTGTGACCAAGTCACCATCACAATGCCTACACGGTCGCTCAGTTACCAGCTACGCTTATGGAACACTCTACACTCTACACACGCACATGACAGATCCTTCAGACGTTACCGAAAGTCGTCAGTTGTCGGGGGAAAAACTCATCAGCTCTTATATCTCCATCCATACGCTAAGTACAATTAGCTCGGCTCCGAACTTCATGGAACCACCGCGACTGACGATCGATCATTCAGATGGAGAAGCAACATAAAGAGGACAGGTGTTGGTGTTTCTGAACCAGCACATCAGCCAGTATTCCGCATGTTGCTAGCGATGGCTTTGATTGTCCGTAATAGTGGCTTCTCCCAGAATTTAATACGATCTTCAGACAAGGTGGGGTCCCTCCTCCTTCCCAACAAGATTACCTGCACATGGCCGAAGAAAACACCATATGGTGATCTGTAAATGGCCACCGAAAAGGTCCAACGGAAGCTGCAAAAATTGTTGACGCTAGAATCTTCGCAACCGAATCCACTCGACAACTTGTACTTCGGTTAGTGACGAAATAAGCGTCCGTATGAATGCTGTCAACCAGAACACGACCTTGTACTATATAGAGGTACGACGGCACATAATGGACTCACTTTTTGTGATCCAACAAATGCATGAACAACTGACCTGTATGTGGTTCAAAGGGTCGAGATACTTCCGTCGAGTGTCGAACGATCTCTCCAGCGATGGATTGTCTTCTAGAAGCTGACTTTGTTGTGATACCATCAGGATCTGTGGTAGAATTATTCAGCAATCATTAGTAAGTCCCTTGTACCATGCACAGAGGGAGAGAATGAGCAACTAGACACACAGAGGTATTCGTGCACAACCTTACACAGTGGACTGTTTAGATTTACTGACCTGCTCGACAGTCAGTTGGAACTCATGGGCCACCAAGTCGTACACGAGCCTTTCGGTGATTCGGTTCCTGCAGGCACAGAAAATGTTGAATGCGATAGTTTTGACTCACTCCTACCTTCGGAAAGGAGGCACATGCATGCCACTTCATTCAAATGATTCTTTCTTCAATCTTGCAGAGATATCGACGGTGTTAAATTATCAAACAGGGAACAAGCATGAAAAAGACATCATTGACGCTAAATACTCGACACCGTATTTATCTGAACTGTAGGCAGGGCATTGAATCGCTGTTGCTCAGAGCTAGTGAGAAAGACGTGAGTTGGCATTTTGCACCATCATAATGAGTTGTCAGTCTGTACCTCTTAAATAGCAGGAGGTCACAACGACTAGGTTCCACAACTCACTTGGGGAACTGCGTGCTGTCGCAGTTCCACAAATGAGGGCAGTGAAGGCTATACAGTGAGCAGGTGACCAGCCGATGGATACAAATGCAAACGGCAAAGAACGAAGAAACAAAAGTAGGAAACTAAAATGTACGAGTGCGGTGTGGGCCCGGCACGTCGGATGCAACTGGATTTATTGACCTTTGGCACCATTTGCATCCAATGGCAAGCAGCAATCGACGGGGTTAAAAAGTGTAACGAGGTTTGTGGGTTTCTGCCCAGAATCGCGCGAGGTGATAAAGTTTGCGGCACATGACGACATTCGAACGCTACCCGGCTGAGCCCGGCGAGTGCCATGAAGTAGGCAAGCCCCAGACTGCCCACTCTTGTAGTTCTATGTATCAAACAAAGCCCTAAGTTGGCGACCGCGTTCCACGAATCGTGAAAGCACTTGGCTACAAAAACAGATATGGAAATATGAGATGGTGAGTTGGAGAAACCTGCAAAGGCGGGCGTATTCTTGCGCAATTTCCATAGACGCTTTAAACAACGACATCTGCACAAAGCAGCAATGTTAGCGGCGTATCGAGCATGCTCCTCTAATCGTTGGAAATTCAATCCGGAACCATGCAGCCCAGAGTTGAATCGAGGGCTTTCGTATGATTTCAAATGTCCATGTCCATCATGAAGCCCAAACCATCGGCAAGTTTCAAACTCTGAATTACTTTGGCATGTAGTCATGACATCTTTAGACAAAAATCCGGTGAAACAGATGGATACATACATGGTAACAAGACGGAAGCAAATACAGAGCACAAGTTAGCTCAAAAAGTTAGCTTCCAAGGAGCATCTGCAGGGTAGGCAATCAGCATGCTTTGGACAAACCAGACCTCCATTACCAGCAGCAGAAGCGGCTATGAAACTGGATTCCTGTTGTGGGATGGTCTAATCTCACACTCTCAGGTACTGAGTTGCATGAGACAGACAGAATGGCAAGAATACTGATCGAACAGAACATGAACACTATCTGCTGATCGCGTTATGATGAGTACCTGAACATTAGAAAGAAAGTTGCGGAAGAAAGGCCATTCGTTGTACATAATTTGAAGCTCTCGAATAAGTGCCGGGTCATTTTGAGTGTAACCCAAAAGTCCACTACCGACACCATACCAAGCTGGAAGAGTATGGCGAGACTGAAACGTACAACATTTCAACCAATCAGTTCAAACCCTCAGACTACTGCAACACTTGCTACACATGCAGCAAGGATCTGGTGCTTGGTTTCGCCATACATTCAACAAAGAGATAATCTGCACCCACAAGATGATGATGTCAAGTGCCCTACCTGGGCCCACCCAAACACCCAGGGGATAGCACGCAAGGATGTCTTGTCTCGGACTGCCGCTTTTCGACGAGAAGGCCTGCTACCGATGTTGATAAGAGCAACTTCATTTACCACGGTGGCTTCATAGAAATAGTCGTAGAAGCCCTCCGTCTTGTCTGTGAGTTCTCGATAATGCTTCTCTGCATAATCAGCCACCTTGTCCATAATTTGGAAGTACTGCGAAAGAATTCCAAGCAACAAAAGACGTGAATAACGTCCACTTGTTCTCGTGTACATGGTCATGATACAGCATCCATATGGCAGATCCATGAAAAAAAAATCCACAGTAAGCAGAGTACATGCAGATCTAGCAAAAATTGCCTGTACAAGTTTGTTGTTGAGACTAAAACCTTGGCGTTGTCGACCATCTTGGTACGTAAGGAGGGATGACTAGCCTTCAAAAGACCAGTTATTCCTACCTGCAGGTTTAAAGGCCACATTACATCAAATAACGGTGGATGGAGCACAAGGTCAAAGACCAGCAATTACAGGTAAATGATAGAGCTCGGATAAGGATTACGTGTGCTGTGTAAAGAACATCAGATCAAGAGCAAATAGTGCTGTATGTCCTGGACAATTCTTTTATGCGACTGATAAGTTGGCACATCTTTCACCATCCCTATTGAAAACCAAGATCACTTAACCATATTGATGCACTATACACCAGAGGCCAAGACCCGAAGCAACCGGCCTGTATTTGTACATCAAGGGGGAACAGTTGATGACTAGTTCTAACTCATACATGGCTCAACAATGTTGTGGGTCCGGAATCGTACCGTCAGCTCATAGGCAGCCGTTGGTGAGTTTCCGTAACGATATGTGATAACTTCACCTTGCTCAGTGAACTTGATTTTCCCATCTACGCTGCCTGGAGGCTGGTAAAAAGTGACGCAGAAGTCAGAAAAAGACGACAAATCCTATTTGATCCACTATGGCCCAGGCAAAATAAGTTCAAAAAAATTTAAAACTCAGTGTGGCCTATGGGCGACTATACCCACATCGACCTAAACTGTCTAAGGAATGTTGAAACCCAGATTTTGCCGAAGTGATTTAAAACATGGTCTTTATGATAGTGGGAATCCAATCTGACAATAAGGCTATGCAGTATGCATCATTACGAACTGCTTGGTTCTTGGAATACTGAAAGTCCCACCTGAGCGAGGATACTTTCGTGTGTCGGGCCAGCTCCTCGACCCACAGTACCACCACGACCATGAAAGATGCGAGACTTTACACCCGCCTCCTTCGTAATTTTCCGTATTACCTCCTGAGCTTTGTACAGGTTGAAGGCACTAGCTGCTATACCTCCATCTTTACAAGAATCTGAGTATCCAAGCATCACCTCCTGCAAGGCAAGATATTCCCATACTAAATCGTAGCTCGAACCAAGATTGATCTCGACTTCTAGGTCTATTTTCTGGAGCAGTTACTACAGTTGGTGTCTACTTTAACGAACTCTTATATCTTCCAGGGTCTTCATGGATTCAGTACGGCCCGCCGAGACAGGTAGTTAACATCAAAAAGGTTGGTGATAATCTAGTCCGTTCAAATGTGTTACACTGCGATACCCTGGTTAAGACTGAAGAGTAGCCAGTCTAGTAGAAGGAATGGATGCATGAAACAAAGATGGTCGTGAGACAATCAGAAATTTACAATTTCAAGGTAAACTAATGAACGAATTGCGCTTAATTACTTTCCTTATTATAGCCAAGAAAGGAAGCTACACTAATTCCAAGGAAAATGTCGCAACAATTCCTGCAACTTAGGACAGGCCTGCATATTATGAGACACTGGAGAATGAAAACGAACCTCGTTGCCCAGTCATAATGTGACACCGCATAGAAGAAATCTTGTTGTCCAAGAAAATAAAGTGTGTATAGAGAAATAACGAGCAGAACTATACTATGATCTAACGCGCAAAACCTATACCAAGACAGCATTAGACGCTGGAAGAATTTACGAACCTGAACACCACCAGTTGCCTCTAGTATTGACATATACGTACTGTTGCCAAGAAGCTGTTCCAATGCTTCCGGCATGTGCTGCAACACATCCAAACTGATTATCTCAGGCCCTCTGTACCATCACTCCCAAACGTCACAGAAACTTTGACCATTGTTTGTAAGCAAATTTTTTAAGAATTGAAGGATAGTTACACCAAATCTAATAGGACTTTTAACTGACAATAAATCTCACGTATATGCAATGTACCTGCTATGTAATATTCTACTTGGAATCATATCTCTATATAGTATTGCAATACATCTCTATCGACACTGCGTTAGAATTCGAAGAATACAATACCTCCAGATCCGGAATGGTCTCAAATAAGGGAGAAACCACCAATTTAGCTTGCCATTCTCCCGAAACCTTCCTCTCAGTTAGACCTTGGCATGTCAACCATGATAGGAACAACACCTGTTCAACCCGCCAAACATTTCGGCAGCTCCATAAAAATTTTGGAGGCATGATAAACATTATCTACTACAAAACCACTAGAGAAGATATTTCGTACAGAAAAAAATAAAACTGATGAGTATCTAGAAAACACTTGGTTCGAATAATAAAAGATATATAAAGATTTAACAAAGCATTCTTCCTCTCGTGATTTTCAAGGTTTTCATCTAGAAGTTTTGAAGTCTTGAAGTGAGACCTGAACAATCTCACTCCATCATGCTTCCAGCCAATACAAATTCTCCTGTCCGTTTCTTCTGAACGACTCAATCACAGTATTGCAAATGAGAAGACCAGCAGTAGTGTAAATAAGAACCTCCAAGACGTGTGACGCCTGACGAGTCATCGAGATAACGTAAGAGGAAATAGCTTTCTTTGATATGGTATTCATTATTTCTGCGACGGCTTTACAAATTCCAAGAACCTGTTGTGTGGACTCTGTCATTTTCTCCTCCAATGCCTGCAAAGGTACGACTTGTAAGCCACCGAAATATCATGCTCACGAACCGAATAGCAATTTTAAAATCAAAGTCTTGCCGAGACTTATCCATCACTTACTTCAAGCTTGTCTACAGGTGGGGGCAGACATAAAGCTTCTGCAAGTTTCTGTATCTTGTCTGACTCAGATAATGACTCGTAGTCCTCGGTCATGCCCAACAGCTGCATACACTCTCCAACGGCCTGCTCATAATGAAAGGCAAGGATTTAATATACTTGAAGCAACCATTACACCAGCAAAACTGCTTCTGGTATTGACTTCCGACAGGAAAAAAACTATTTTCTTGTTGTAAACAGCTCCGATTTGTGGTGAACTATATTTGTGTCAGAAAGATCGAGAAACAAACCTTGCTGTGAACGGTCGACTCTTGACGAACATCAAGTGAACATAGATGAAATCCGAAGGTTTCTCCGAGTCGGATGAGGTCTTTTAGCTTGCTGTCGGCAAGTCGATCGTCTCCACAGGCACGGAGAGATTTCTGCAGGGCAAGTAAAGAGGGCAAGTCAACATAATAGACCAGATGCATTGCATTATGGAACGATCAGATGCATGTTTTGGTATATTAGAGGATTTTCAGTCTAGTTTGTATATGTAGCTGTATCCGCCATAATACTAGCTATTTCTCATACCGAAATTTCTAACTACCATACGAAAATTTGCGCGCAACGACGTAGAAAGAGAAAAGAAAAACATCTCATTCAGCTGCTTTCTCAGAAAGTAGGAAAACTCAAGGACGTTATAAGTTTTTGACAAGACTACCTCAACGCGATGAAGATCTGAAAGACAGTGAAGCTTAGATACCAATGTTCTATTTTCAGGTTCTGGGAACACGAAAACGGGCATGTCCTCTCCCGACTGATGCCTGGAAAGTCCCCTTGGACAATCCCATTATGATGTGGTTTTTGGCAATGTTACGGGTAATGCGAAATGTCAAGGATATGAACAAGACTATGGGAGAGAAGATTACGTCAATCAACTTCAAGTCGTGCAGAAATCCCTCCTCATTGGCGTATGCGCCCTCTTTCGGGTCAAGTCCAGGTATTTCATCGATGTTGTACTCTATGTCGATCAGCAACTGTATTGTGCAGACAAGAAGGGAACAAAAAGAAGAAAGCTTGTATGTCAGAAGCAGTACGTAAAACAGGAACAAAGAGTTATGATGGAAGTCCATTGACTGGTTGGTTGTCCTATACTCAGGTTCAAAGGCAAACTGTCTGAAGATTCAATCCTGTTGATTTACATTAACCTAACCTGTGAGTTCTGCTGATTTAGGGAAACGAACATCAATGCAAAATAGTATTTCTTGAGAGTTCGGCCAAAATAAGTACATAGACATACAGACAGAATATTCGCAAAGTACATGAATATGACTGACTGGCAAGTTTGTATCTGGCTGGAGCAGGAACAAAGCCAAGGCTAACAGTTAGGAAACGAAAGGTTAAACGATCGACGAACAACCTCAGAATAACATCCAGTCGACACTCATGTTCAGAAAGACATACTCAAAGTTAGAATTGATGAGAAGTTTCAGACGGAGTCACCTCATCGCTGTAATTACTTCCTCCCAGTTCACGTAGGCGAGCATTGACACTTCGAAGTATCTGCTCCAAACGATGTCTAATAACGCGCAGTTTTAAACGATAAGGTTCCTGAAAACAATCACGTAATAACAGCAAGATTGTATTAGCCTATATAACAGTAAAGTAGCCATCCTTCCGCATTCAAACTTAACATTCTCATCCGCAAGTATATCTTACGTATCTCTTCTCGTGATTATGTACTGGATACTCAATGTTACAATACACAATCTAATGCCTTAATCAGCTATTCGTATAACGTCTGCAGCAAATACAAAGCTTTTCCATCGTCAGAAACGAGAAGTAACTGTTCGAAAAGCATATGGCAGTTCCTATTGAGTTCAGCCATGAAGAGAGAGGTAGGGTGCATACGCCCACATCTAGATTTATCACATTGTTTGGAATCGACAATCCATGTTTTTCACCTGCTCAAAAGATGCGATTTGATGTCGGAGTGCTGGAATCTTTTGCATCACTTTTTTGTCTTCTTCTAAACTTTCTAGTAATTCGGGTGCCACCTCGCAAATCAGTAAAGAGTGCGTCAAGGTATCCTGGAATGAAAAACGAAAGACAGATTAGGTCCAAGTCCTAAAATTTCATGGCATTAAATCTTCCGTAGCTTTCTAGTTTTTTTACCAAGGTGCATAGGTTTCTGCCTGGAAAGGCGCGAGATGGTGCTGCTATTTGCATCATCTGATGCATCTATGTATAGCCCGGCGGATATCATGGACTAAACAAGCGTGGGCTGATCATATAGCTAACTTCGGCGATGCCATGTGGTACGCAAGAGGTACATGTGACACCGACTAGGTGTGGTGTATGACGGTACATGTCGTACAAGACGAATCTTTTTGCTTGAGAAATGAACGTCATGATTGTATTATTACAGGTGAGAGTAAAAGGGAGACAAAAAGAGAAAGAACTGAGAGATATTCCCAGACAACTGTGGATGTAGACCGGTTGGGAAGGAACTTAGCGAAGCATTACACGAAAAGAACGAGAGGAGAGGTTACAGACATCTGTGAAATGCATTGGAACGTAAACGATGAAGTCTACTGCACACTAAATCCTCTGACTTTTATTATCAAACTGTAAGGCTGTATAAGGGGACAACAGGAAAAGGAGAAATAAACACCTAAAAGATGCTCAAACTAGGAACATGCATATGGGCGAGAAAATCAAGAGAAATTCCAAACGACGTCGATGACCCAAAACAAAAAAGACAAGAGAGGGGCTCAAGTATTAATAATTCCCTGTTTAAAATGCTGAAAACTATTGTAATGTTGTTAAAAACAAAGGAGATGCAAACTAAAACGTGAAACAGACAAAACAAATCTAAACGGTTGTAACATGTGCATGTCTATCCGTACAAAGCTGAATCATGTTGATCCAGTGTGACTGAGTTCAGTGGACTTTGGTAATAAGACGACATAAGGGCGAGATGTCAACCTGGCAGATGCGACACCGTCGAATATACTCGGCAATAATAAGCCTGCTCGCCAATAGGGCTGCCATCACAGTAGTCTCTGGCAAAACTGCGCAACAAGGAGGAGAGAAATTGATTGTTAGCATTTATGTCCTCAGGTTCCAGAAACATAGAAATTATAGACATAATAAATTTCAGTCACAACCTGAACACTATAGACCCTAAGGATTGTACAAAGTAAGCACCAGTGATTTGAGCGGAAGGAGTACGTGTAACATACCAAATGGGTTTCCATCACGGTCACCACCAATCCACGAACCGAACTTTATAAAGCTAGGAATCTTCACGCCTGAGTTCGGATACACATGCTGTGTCATTCAGCGAAATTTGGCTTGTGAGCTCCTTGTACCATGGTACGGAGAACATTGAATGGACTCCATTTGATTCTCAAAGATGTGAATGGAGTAATTAAAAAAGTATGAAGAGAGTCAATTTTTAGGGATGAGCGAAGCCATGAGGGAACACATGATCAACCAACACAAACCTTTTCTAAATACCCTTATTCTACTTTCATCTGGAGCTGCCGTAACTTGGGCTCAACATGCTATATCATGCTATACATGCCGTAACTTCTCCTCAAATCTGCATTTGAATCTTGTCACAAATCGACTCAGAGAAATCCCAGCGCCGACAAATCGTCTTACTTACGTTCAACGAATTCTCGGCATATCGGTAAGTGGTGCAGACAGCTTCAAAAAGTGAAAATCGAAAATAGTCCAGGCCCGTCATAATCTCCTCCATTACAGTTGGTTTCTGTTGACGCATCTCATCTGTCCTCCACAGAATCTCAATCTACAGATGTAGAATATGTTAACGTTCATGGTCACTGAGACCTCACCACAGTCACACAAGCTCTTCCCAACTTTCGAGACCAGCGTAAAACTTCCAAAGCTTAGCATTGCGTTAGTCCCCTTGGATGAAACTCTTGGCAGAACTGGAAAAGGCTACAACCGTGAAAGTAGTTTTCTTCACAAAATTTCTTTCACACAGCGTAAGAACGTCACCCTCATCCTCATTTAGCTTCTTCATCCACCAATAATAATCACAGTTTTATATTTGTACTTTGAACCCGAGCACGAAATGAAATGGGACGAGACAAGCTTCAAATCACAATGACGATGGTTCGATGGCTGGTAACAAAGAAGATTGAAAGGAAACTAAGTACGATCAGCTACCACATGCAAACAAAATTATTCCGATAATTACCTCAGCTTCTACTTCAGCCTCAATTTCCGTTTTCTGTGCTGGACTCAACCTTGGGTCCTGGATAAAACAAATACATTTCCATACACAGTCAGATTTTCATCAATGCGACATATTCGTTCGTAGCCAAGAGTATGTTACATACGTTAGATTTATATATATACAAACGTCGGTGACATTTCTGTAAGAGAACGTAAATAATCCAAAAGCGTCACAAAGATAGTAACAAGAGTACAACTTGCGGGTGAACACAAGGTTATGAAATGCAATATGCACGAATGGGAATAAAATCGCACCAAATGAACAGAGCAGAGTAACATGCATAAAACAGAACGAATACAAGGTGAATGCGCCAGAGACGAATGCGAACAGTTATATTTCTTCCTGGTCGTAAGATAGTCAAATGGTTGATAGGCAAGCAAACAAATGTGCAACCTTGAATTAGAAAGTAAGGATCGACTTAACCATGTGACCTATTGTTAAACTTAACCATGTGACCTATTGTATCATGATCATGATCAAGCTTCAATTCAAACATCTGCCCACCTTGATCTTCCATGTGCAAATAATTACATCTTGCTCACATATTTGAACTTGGACCAAATATCTTATTGATATAGAATATGCTGAGTATCTTTGACAGCTTAAAACTAGCAAGGTGGTTACTTTCAGCACCTCGAGAACAAACTTTGTATCGACGTTCTCCTGATTATTTACGTTAGATCATTTAAATTGAGAATGTTCAACTACTCAACTCTGTCAATCCACTTACCCCAGAGTTGGTCCATGATCTTTTTCAAAATCAATGATCCATAAAGATCACTTTTAGATCACATCTCTACCACATCGCGTAAGGAGGACTTTCTTGCATTTGCCATAACTTGTTACAACTCCCTCTCACCTTAGGGTGGACTATGAACGACAACAGTTTGTCCTTCATAGTCCACCCGAGGGAAAGAGGGAGAACAGAGAACATGATTCTTTAGATAAAACTCCCAAGTCTTGAACTTCTACTGACTCGAAATTCTCCACCGATCTTCACAACAATCTCTCACTAAAAGGTGTAATCAACACTTGATCAAATGATCACTGGCTGAATGTACTCATGCTATGACCTGATTGTAGATATTGATGACTGCACATCAATATGTACAACTTTGAACCTGAACACCGAAACCCTAAACCGTAGTAGCTTAGCTACAAAGATAACCCCAAAGTAAATAAAGAGAAAACACTACATTAGTGAAAGATCCCCTTCTTTCGTTGATTTCCACTTGATGGGAAGTTCACATCAAGCCGTATCAAACCGTATCAAACCAACTTGAACAAGTAACATGAAGCTAGGCTCAAATAGCACCACAACGGGAAATATGTCATACATCAATATTAGTATCCGACCTATCCAGATCAAATAAATTAGAAACAACAAAATCATCTGAAGATACATTACCTAAAGTGATGCTCTCCTATCAATTACACCAACTAGGCTATCTGTAGAGCAATGAAAACGAGATTATTATTTACTTCCTAATTATGTTTTTAATGTATTGTTTTGATATAAAGTCACTGTTATGATCTAAGATTGATTCACAACACAGAATATCAAACATATGGACCGTATTGACGGTCGCAACATGGGACAAATACCAAATTGGATTGAATACGAACCATTTAAGTCAAATGCACCTGTTTCTCCGCCTAAGACATTGACGAAAGAAACTGAGAAGGTTGAGGAGAGACCTCTCGTGAACTGCACAGCTCAAATATTCTGTGCAAGCATGTAAGGATCTCCCTCCGCCGAGCTTCTGTGGGATGGGCTGTGAAAACTGGATTGTACTGTAAAAACGACGAGGTTATCAGAACAATTCGTCATGCGTGCAGCTGCACGATTTAAGAAATATAGAGCTGCCTAAGCGAGCAGCATCCCGACAAAGGCAATATTATTGCATTCGCTTCCAAGTGAAAACTATTCAGTCCCGCTAGACAAAACAAGTTTTATATGACAAATCATTTTGTGACCAGCCGCGAAAAGATCATACATCAAAGGAGGACAATATATGCTCAAAGATGACCGAAAACAAACTGAATCACGATATCGATCAAGTCAGGTATCTTTGCATATGATGGCTTTTGCATAGCCGAGGTCACATAAGATGCAGTGTGTTACCTCACATCGGTCGAGTAAGCTCTGAAGATCGCGAGGTCCGACATCGGCCTTCCTAAATAACCTTAATGTATGGTCAAAGGAAGCGTACCATAATGGTGTCGCATTCATGCTAGCCCAGACCTACAAGAAAGTAAAGATAATTTCAGCGACTGTTGACACGAACCACCTTTGACACCTCCTGTCGAAGCTACTTATAAAATCGAGCAACTTGTGAAATCTAGGTATGCATAAAACTGAGGCTCTTCAATCAAGTCATGCACCTTTCAGCCAAGAAAGGATTAAAGACAGGCAACACGCAATCATTTCTATGTTCACAGGTTGTGGGGAACTGATCTTGATGTCTTCGTTCTGAGGGTGCAACCGACAAGAATATGACAACCGCAATTGGACAAATGAACGAACTGATGCGAAGGATTGGACCTAATATTACTACTCAACCCCGCAAAAACTGGTTTCAAAACATCTCTGAATCTCCAGAGATCTCTGGTAATCTGCTCGTTCCACAAAAAAAAAATGCCCAAGTAACGATACAAGTTAATTAACCTACCTGCTCTCGTCGGCCACGATGACTATGCGCTTCGTCTGCCACATTTAATAGAGAAGAATACAAATAAAATATTCGAATCACGGCCGTTATCTGCAGTTGACAACGACAGGGCGTGACGCGTGAGCATTCATTCAATCCGTTTCGCCGATGCTTGATTCGTTTCACAAAACAAGAGAGATGCACAATAGATTCTAAACCTTCAGGAGCCGGCGAATGCCATATATGATATTATGATGAACACAAACTAATTAGATATAACAACCCATAGAAACCAGATTCGCGAAATACCAGAGTTTTATCCATGTTGTCGATATAACGGAGCAGATCGGCTCGTTTCCGAGGGTCCTCGTCAAGTTTCAAAGCTTCAAACCCTCTTTGAAGAGTGTAAGCCTGACAGCACAGTTGTATGACCATAAATCTCAAAACAATCCATGCACGACACACGCATTCCCCAAAAGAGACAATTTAGCTGCTCCGCTGTGGTGCAGTTATCTCAGCAGCGGTGCAGGTTGACAAAACTCGTCATGTTTTATAACCCTGAAGATCATACCCCCTCCAACTCATCTTGAAGGCCCTAGAGAAAAGAGGAGGAAGAAGAATGGAGACGAGAGGTGAAAATGACTGAATATGAGTCAAGACAACGATCTCAATCCAAGAAACTATTAACGCACTCACCGCTTCAACCACATCTGCTTTGCCATGCTCGGTCACCACCTTGTCCAGCGCTGAGCAAAGAAATGATACCTGCATCGTCGACATCAACCCGGAAAAAGTGAGATGGGTAATAGGATGTTGCTAACTCTCAATTCACTCGATAACTCTGTTTACAGGATAGGCAAAAAGACCACTCCAAGCAAAAGCTGTCAAAATACAGAGGCCATGATCTCATGGAAAAGATGTCTCCGAGGAGAAGTGTGATGAGGATACAAAAACTTCAATTTTGCTAGCCAGCAACTAATTCTCATGCTTTCGAAGAAAACTCACAATCCACTCGATGACCTGTTTTCTTGTACTCTACATCTTCTATTAGTGTCGAGGAAATATACTTGTACTCGCCGGAATTTTACAAGAAGCACTTAATAATGCGGCAAGTATAGATGGCCAGACAACACGTCTTTCCTGGGTAGTGCTACTTTTTTTGCTGGAAGCTACTTTTCATCACTCAATGAGATAAAAGATAAAGACTTCCCTCCGTATCCCTGTACGTAAACAAAGAAACAAGAAACTGAACCCACCTGATCCAAAAGAAGGGGATCCTCCAGTTTTGACTCTTGACTTTTACGATGCTTCAAACTTATGAGCACCTTTTCCTTAATCATACTCCATTTCTCTTCAGGTATGGCTCTCTTAGTCTCTGAGTCCACGACTGAGAAGATATCTCGAATTCGGTCATTACTAGTGGAGACTTTGGCACTCTGAACACTGTAAAATGGCAATTTGTAAATGCAAGTTTGAGCAAGCATGATAAAGACGACTTAGCTATAAATATAGTATGCTAATGGTTAATAAAAAGAAACCTAAAAGATCTGCCAATTCACTACATATATAAATGGAACCCTAAAGTGAGAATGTGACTTACCTTACACCCAATTCACTGAATGCACTTGTGACATCAGCAAGTAAGTTTTCTTGGTCGACTCCTTCAATTTCCACTACTGTCAATCCTGATCTGGCTTCATTGTCAAGTCTTACAGAAAAGTCCGCGTTGGGCTCAACTGAGACTTGCAAAGTGGATGATGATATCTTCACCGGCCGCCGGAAAGGACCGGATCCAACCTTTCTAACCCAGCCTGGGAACCGAGCCGTACATGACTCCGACAGCGTCGCTGTACTAAGGCCTGGGACAGTGGGAGCTGCGAACACCTTCCGAATCGCCTGCTGGAAGTGTCCATTTCTGCTGTAAGGGGACGAAGCCTTTAATGAATATTTATACAGATATTGATTATTGAGCTGAGATTTGTCCTAGGATAACAATCACATCTTGTGCTTTTATTATAATCTAAGATTGTAAATCTATTATAAGTGTTACATGTGTGCGAAGAGTGTATGCACATCTGCACAGGACGAAAGTTTACTCATTAACTTGCCGCTCTAACATGACAACTAATGTAGTGCAATGCATCGCATCAATTTGTAAGCAGAATAATATGAGATCGCTCTATGCTAGTACATCCTCTCTTTTCGTCAATTTTCATCTTCACTCATTAATTCCACATACTTCCTATTGAATAACCAGTTTGTATAAATCAAGAAGAAGACAGCTATCTATGCTAGTGAAATTTAGCTACTCTTCATTGTCACTGAGCAACAGTTGTGTGATCTCTCTCCAAAATATGTGAATGAATGATGCAACGCAAGAAAGAATTTATGTTAACGTAAACCTTGAAGTAAAACGTTAAATTATTGGAGAACAAATCTGAAGTTTATTGGATGGTGACTTGATTCGTTCCAGAGAAGAACTCTAGCTCTCAAGCGAGAATACAATCCTAGGCTCAGGTTGCTGCTAACAGAATATTATTATGACTAAATATACTCCTCAAGTGTCACGTTGACAGAATTGGTCCTCAAAATAGAAAAATAAAATAAATAACATCCTCATCCTCACCCTTCATAGGATAAAAACAAATTCATCTAATAGTCCGCAAGTAGACCTCATAATTGCTTACATATTTCAGGTGAACATTAAGAGTCCGACTGAAAGTTACAGTCAAGTATCGTCTCAAAATGTCAATGTTAAATTATGAAAACGATTTGGACACACAATCCTAGATGGAAACAAAAAATCCTCGTCAGAACCAGAATATACCTTTCTTTGTGGGAGTTTGATACCGCTGTTGTAAAATCTCTCCGCCTTTGGCTTATGCAGGGTAAAAGTGTGGCGCCAGATGAAAGCGTATTCACGTTCCCAAGAAAATTGCTTCTGCTCATCTGCACGAAGCACAAGACAAATTTGAGTACAAAAACCTTGCTAACGATATCACTACAACATAAGAAGGTAAAGACGTGAAAAAATTTGAAGGATGCTGATGAAACATACAGTTTTCGAACGCTGGTGTGAACAGTCTTCCCCAAGTTTTGAGAGTAATAAATTTTCGCTCAACCTGACACCACAATTATACTTCGAAGGTCAGACGTGTGAAGAACCAAAATAACGAGTCAGCGGCACTCATACTTGGTGATAAAGTACACCCATTCTTTGTACGGAAGGCTCACACCTCTGAATGGTCAATTTATGTGAAACCAACGCGTTTTCAAACACAAAGGTCAAGAGTTCCGACTCAGAGAGAAATATTCTGCAGGTTCCCTTGGAAAAGGCAGAGGAAAGGTCCTCCCTCTATAAATTAGTTTAAATTTTAGTCACCCTTCGTAACAGGATGGAAATATACATAAGCACCACATTCCAATGATTACCCAAGAATTGTTCACAATATCCGCAAAGAACATGAATACTTGGACTGTGAAACCAAAGGTTTCGCCTAAGGAAGCACGTCATTTGAAAACAATAATAGTTTTTTCTTATAATCCGACCGGGACATATACCAAGTCTTCAAGGTCCGGCGACTTTGTACCGGAAGTTTTAGCACAGGTGGCGAAAGCAATCCTTAATGACCCAGTGATGGGTTGAGGTTAGTACACCAGTCTTACCAGTATACTGAAGCTCAGTCCAACCCAATTACGAGAATGGAGAATCGGTCGCTACGGCAGGTTGTAGACTATCTACGATTTACAAGAGAGGGTATCTCTAAACGCGGAATTCTTCCCACTAGCTGGATTAGTTCGAAGATTCCAAGATTTAAGGAAGAACCCTTACTAATTCGTCCACTGGACGAATACGAAAGCCAACGAAAGTACATAAGACTCGATATCGCGGTTGCTTCGATCTTTTACATGAAAGCTACAGACTTCTGTCAACAACTTGGACTCTAAAATCAGAGCGAAGCTATGGAAATGTATTTGCTCTCATGCTAGACAGAGAGAGCTGATTACGTCGAATAAAGAACAGGAATTTCGTCCTCCGTGCCAAAGAATATGCAAATTGAGGGAATGGTTCCTCGTCTTGCTCTTGCGTAGATTCAAAAAGATGACCGCCATTCGGGAAATGAAGCACTAATGCCAGGGGTGTCCGTCGTCCGGCCGCCCAATGCCAGAAAAGGGACAATCTGGAAATCGTGCTTGATGATGAAGCGTTCGGATTTCAGCGTGGCTATTACAGGGTTTCGATTCCTCCCGGTCCAGTCGCTCTGAGAGACCAGATCTTCGATCCGTCAGCATAGGTTTACAAGGGACTGGCGTCCATCTCCTATGACTCTACTCCAGAGGACAAATCTGTTGCCCTCGCAATATCCCGCGGTATTGCGAGGGTTTAGCAGGTCTCCATTGCCTTTCTGAGAACATACGGCATCCAGGAGAATTCGGGATATCGAAGATGTGACGCATGATGTAACCGTCTTCTCCACTTTATTTCGAGAACACCCATACAACATTCCACAGAGATCCCGCCGATTTCTAAGCTTACCTCTCAAAATGTTTGTGTGAGTGCCGATCTCTCTCGACAAAAAGCAAAGTCCTCAATGTGCAGATCGCATGCGTATTCCAAGTTGCTGGCCAGATGGTCGAAATAGCTCAAGAGATTGTAAGTTTCGGAACAGATGGGAAAAAAAATTTCTAGCTCGAGAATGTCAAGATACATCCCCTACATCCCAACATGCAACAACCGTCGAGCCTCAACTCCTTGAAAAAGGAAAAAATTGCAGTCGGTGCTACAAACGAAATCTCTTCGACGCTTGAATTTAATGAACAGATTTGGATCTGTTTGTCATCATTTATTACTCATTCCTACACGTTACATCCCAGTGATCGAAGCCAGTTGTTATAATTTTAGGGTGCATATGATGGATGGCTAAGGTATTCAAAGGGCGTAAAGACGGAAGAGACCATGGCTTATCGAGGGTGTACAGCTCAGCAGCGTGAATATTGCCTGATTTCTTTTAGAGTTAGGAACAAATACTACAGTGCATCACAAAACTCGTCCAACCTTCGCATTGCAAAGACGAACCCACAAAGCAGCAGAAAAAATATAGATGGTTTGATCGCCCGTGGATCTTAACATGAGCTGATTAATTCCCGCCGACATGTAATTGGCAGTTGCAGACCCTGACACGAACGACGGGAAGCTGCCGCATGTCACGAAGAAATTTCAAAAGACTGGGCAAATCACCAATCGCAAGCAGACGGTGCAGGAGGCTTCGGAGGGACAAGCTACCTCGTCGAAAGAGCAGAAGTCGCATACGTTTGGGCCATTACAACCTCCAAGGGTCAGCAGCAGCGACTCTCGTTCTCGCTTCTGGAGTCGGTTGTGTCATGAAATGTACAATTTAAACCCCAGAATTCTCTTCAAGTTCACGAGTATTATAAGAATTCTCCCTGCAAAGAATCATTCCGGAATCACATTTAGTTGCGTACTGAAAGTGAAACTCTGCACCTTGACGTACAATCTGATCAGACCTTCCGACTTCGGACTGGATCTCACACCCTTCAGTCACTGCGGTGGGCGCGATTCCATGGAACGGCGGCTGTTATCACGACAACAGCTTCGATTGCTCCGGCAACCTCTTCGTTCCACAATCCCGGACTATGTAATAAAAGTAATAATTGGCGAGTCCCTTTTGGAGAAACTAAAATCCTAAACGTGCACCGTTAGAAATCATTAGGTCCGCTTGCGAGCGTACAAGCTTCACCAATGGCTGGCCAGCGTTCATAATGGGTCAGTGCTCCGTGCAAGCGGGGACGGCGGAATAGTCAGAGGTCGTACATCGGCTAGGTTCATGCGTGCGCAACTAGCTCACAACGGAGCCCAGGATAAAATGTGGCCCACCATTCGCCCATCGCCTCGCTCGACGCACACCTCGGAATTCCAGAGGGCGCTCGGGCGCGCTAGCAAACACGAAGTAGAACGCTATGATAGTGCGAACATCGCAAACGGGCGCAGGCAGATGCGTACTTCACCATTTGCGTCCAGCGTCGTCGTCGTCTGACACGATTCCTCGCCTGCGGAGCGCGCACTGCTGCAGCATTCTCGCCACCCCCGAACGCGCACACGCCCAATTTCGCCCAGCTAATTATCCAGCCCTTCCCTATCAGAGGAGGAGGAGATCTGCCCCTTCTCCATCCGAAGTGTCCGCCAAAGCCACAAAGCGCGACCTACGATCCGCAGCTGCAGAGCCTAGGGCGGAAACATTGAATCCGAATCAGGTCCTGCTGCTGCCAGTCGACGGAGGCCGAGCCCGGGCTCCACCGAGCGATGCATGCACATCCTTCCAACGAACGATTCTCGCAAACTTGCTAAATCCGAGTTATCTTTTTCAGGTGCTTCGAGCTCACGTGGCATATACCGGCAGATCTTCTCCAGCCGCGGAGCCAATGGCGCCAACGGTCAGCGTCGGGCTTTCTGCCAGTGCCCTCCGGTTTCCCGCCTCATGCCGCGGGACGTCAGTCCGTCGCCCAGCGAAAGCTTCACCAGCAGCGGCAGCGATGCCCTCCCGAGCCGGCGAAAGATTCTGCCCCCGCGGACCAACGTGCTCGATTTGCCGTGCTGGTGAACGCCGCATCCATTTCCTCTGTCCTCGTCGTCGTCGTCGTCGTCGTCCTTGAGAAAAAGAGAGCGAGACTCTCCGATAAAGATGGAGCGACGTGCCGCGACTAATTCTCTATGAAAAGCCGTTGTCTCGGTCCGAGGCAATTATTGCGTGCCGAGAGTCCACCCCACCACCGGGTCAACATTGCATCGCACCGTACTACGTTCCTCGACGACCGCAACCACGACCGTGACCGCAGTGCAGGGCGGAGCTCGAGCTCGAGCTCGCGGACCCGACTGTGGCCGCCTCGTCGTCGTCCTCTCCGGTCCCGGAGCTTGGGGACGGAATGGAATGGAATGGAATGGAATAGAATAGAAGAGGAGGAGGGCATGGAGGACGGGAATCGGCCGTTCGCTATATTCTCCATCGGGGTTCGCGTCCTTCCTTCCACCGGGATCGTGTCTCGAGGCGTGGCCCACCACCGGCACCAGCACCAGCACCACTCGCACTCGCACTCGCAGCTATACCTGCCGTAGCCTGTCGCGGCGTCCCTGTCCCCGGTCGCCGTCGTGCCTTGCCAGGAGCCCCCTCCGAGAGTAATATCAGCACCGCTGCGAAGGGAGCACCGCGACCGTCCCCTCGCAGAACAGAACAGAGCGGGCCGAAAGCCACTCGGACGAACGTACACTCGAGCCCACCAGAAGAGTTGAAAGGAAAGGAAAGGAAAGGGAAAGGAAAGCGAAGGAAAGGGGGAGGAAAGAGAGCAAGGAAAGAAAGGAGAAGAGGACAACGAGAGCAAGAGAGAAAGAGAGCAAAGAGTGAGAGAGAGGGAAGAGAGGCAGCGAGCTGCAGGGAGCGAGTCAGGCGAAATCTACATCAAGCAACGACTGCGGCCCCCGCTCTCTGCCTGCTCGTGGCCTGCCTGCCCTGCCCTGCCTGTCCTGCCCTGCCCTGCGCTGCTCTGCGCTGCTCTGCACTGGCTTGACTGGACTGAACTGAACTGGACTGGACTGGACTGGACTAGGAGCTCTCTCTCTCTCGGCTGTCTGCTCGGGGGCGCAGCGGCGATTTTGCTTCGTCGTCCGCTTTGACGAGGAAAGGAGGACAAGGACGAGGACGAGGAGGAGGTGGTGGTGGTGGTGGTGGTGCAAATAGAGTGGGTTCAGAAGGACGGGCTGGCGAGAGCGGGCTACCTTCACGCAGGACCCGAGAGGGCCGTGGCGTGAGGTGCTGAGATTTGAGGAATATTGTGTATGTCCGGAGGCGGAGCGAGCAGCGCGTAGGCGGTGGTCTTTGCTTCAGGCGCCAGCTTCCCGATCGAATCATGGGATTACGTGACAAGCAATGGACCACGGCTTTGACGATTTCGGCTGCCGCTGCAGGAATTTCGCTCGTCGCCTATAAGGTGTCTGCCAGTCGCGTTCGCTGTTCTTTCGAGTCGTGGCTTTTTAGTTTTTGCATGCTGTTTTCTCGTTGGCTGCCCGATGCATCTTCAGATCAATCCGAAAGTTCAATTGGGACCGACATTGGCTTTTATTTTGTTCGTGTTCGTGTTTGTCCTTCTTGCAGTCTGTGTGTGTCGTCCGAGATTTGATCAGTTTTAAATTCACGAGGACTCAGATCGGCGAGTTATTTCTGCGTTCTTTGCCTTTTCAAACGTCGACATGTTCTTACAGGAGTTTCGAGCATTTGGATGCTCACACTTTTGTATAAGATAACTCGTCGGACCTTTCTGGCACCTGTTCGCTAGATCTGGGAGCTACAAGTCCTGCCACCATTATACAAAGGTTCCGGCGAGTCACAAATTTTTCAAGTCTATATGTAAATTTGAGTCCGTCCACCTGACCCTCCAAAGGACTCTCTCTCTCTCTCTCTCTTTCTCTGAGGGCACTCTCAATTTTTCGCGGAGCCACGTCCGTAGATACATCCTTCACTTTCTGAGCTGGTCCCCAGTTTATATGGCCTAGTCACTGTAGAATGCAGATCAAAATATGAATCCTCAAGTTCGCAGAAAGCCTTTTGCTAGTTGGGCTCGACCAAAATTCAGTGTGCACAATAACTGTTACCCTTCCGCCCCGCGGATCGCTATGAGGATCTACAGAAGATCATCACGAAAGAGCGTAGATCGCCAAAACTTTCTCCCATAAAATTTTCGATTCGATGTAAGCCCGGAGCATTGGGGCATGGGACTAGGAGTATCATTCCTACCCGATTTTCTCAAGTTAACCGGTGATCGAATAATATAATGGATAGGGGTCGATGGGGTCTCTAATTATTACATAGTGTGGGTCAGGCAAGCTGTTCGATGTGCTGCTCTGGCTTAAGTAAGTATTTTGCTTTGCTAGAGATCTTGTGATTTGGGACACCTGAGAGAATTTTTTTTTCTCATCAGTTGTGTTGTGCCATCTCTTTCTTTCTTCCAGGTGTATAGACGAGGTTCTAGAGGCAAGCAAACCCTCTATTCGCTGCAATATGCAGGATCTCGGGGCTCCTTACCTGCCCTTTACGAGCACACCCTAAGTCCTGTATACTCAAAAGCGGGTGGCTCCCCCAAGGTAAGCAAACTTCTCCTCGTGAGTTTATCAGTTGTCAGCAATGTGTTTCTACAAGTATGTTTCAGGAAGAGTCATACATTGCCAAGCTGATCATGCAAGTATACTTTGTGATACACCTGCATAGCTTTCGAAGTTGGTTACATCCTGTTACTGAAATTATCGTCCTCGGCCTTCGTGATTGAGTTGGCCCCTGTCATAAGGTTTTGCCTACCTTCATTTTGAACTAAGAAGATGATGGCATGCTTTCCTCAGGTTTACTGTATTGGGGGTCATGGAACCAGCGCCGAGCATTTGGAAGTTTGGGTTCTTGATTCAGCGCTGAATAAATGGACAGAAATCTTGCCAGCCAGCACCCATGACACCGGGGCATCTGTATTTGTCAAGCGCTTCCGTCATGCCGCTGCTGGTAAAAGACGAACACCATAGAACGTTATCCTTGGATGAGGGACAGTTCTCAAGAGGGGAGATTCCCCAGGATAGATCTGAATGCTCTTCTTCTCAAGATACTTGCAATGATGAGGTTAGTTTGTGATGAACACATCGCCTGCAAGACAGTAAAGCTTTTTCGACAAGGCATTTCACAGTTCAACTAAAGCCATTAGTTGTATCTCGCAGGAGTTGGAAACGCTATATATGTTTTTGGAGGATACACAAGTAAAACCATGGTATGACTTTACCTGGTAAATGTCATGTCAAACTGTAGTTATCCCACCGCTAAGGTTACCATAATTGCTGTGTCCAATAACAGGCATTTGGTCAGAAGCTTGCTTGCCACTTAAAAGGGCTACTAGGAGTTTGTTATGATATCCCTTATAAAATGTGAGGGACGTTTCTATGTGCGAAGCCAGTGTTCATATCTGCTTTCTGGTTCAGACGGTCCATTGCTACCTTATGTAGTGTAGATTCTTACGGAATCTTGTATGCTTGAAGCCTCATCTAATTAGCCCTTCAATCGTACCGTGCAGGGCGACGTGCTGAAGTTCGATACGGAAAAAGAGCAATGGAGCACTCCTTCCTTCATTGGGCAACTTCCTTCACCTCGATCGGCACATACAGCCACTGTTGTGGGCAAGAAAGTTGTATGTTCACTAACCTTGTATATTTGATCAGAGGTAGCTAGTTGGTGCGTCTTTCGTTGAGGTGTAATTTCAGCGGTCGGGTTCGCAGTTTCGAGTACTTTTTTATCTTTGACGCTTAGTCTTATTGGTATTTCCAGTGAATGTTATCTGAGTATTCGCATGAATATTAATTCGTGGTCATGTGGATCGTGCGGAGCAGGTTGTATTTGGTGGTTCTGGGGAAGAATCTTCACTTAACGACGTACACATTCTTGACACGGTTACAAACACATGGTGAGAAGACTTAACAGTGCCGAAGATCTGTCATGCCTTTTATGAGCTTAGTATCCCATGTTTCAGACTTCATGCGCTCTGACAGCGGTGAGACCTTTCGTGAAAGAGGCAGTGCAAGATCATAGGTCGTTGGTTGTCGTGGCCTCTCTAATCTGGTTTTCTATCGTATGTTTTTAAGGAGTGTCAAACCTGTACTTCAAATTTCTGAACACCAGCATGTCAGAATCCTTTTTGGCCTATGTATTGTCTTGATTTTTGAGGTGTTATGTGATTGTGATGTCAGGACATCACCCACAGTCATAGGACTTCCACCGTCACCTCGTTGTTTCCACTCCGCTGTTTTGTTAAATGAAGAGCGGATTGTTATATACGGAGGATACACCAGTACTGCTGAGAGCGATATTTGGTTTCTTGAGGTGAGAACACTTGAATTTAAATCATGATCTATCAGTGGTATTGTTAGCCCCTAGGCAGCATGAAGATTCTACATTCGAGATGGCGATTCGAAATCAGATTGAATATCTTCGTATCTCATAAAGGACCGTGTGGGTAGGGAGTACATGCTTCGGGAGTATGATTTTGCAATCGGCACACGCACCTCCTGATTACAATAGCATCAGCTTCTTAACACTTCCCAAAACTCTGGACTTCTGTTGGCCCCCGTAGGTTGACACGCCATATGTGAAAGCTCAACGGGAATCGTTGGGTAAGGAGGTGGTGGCCTGGAGCAAGGGTGTACTGGGCAATTCTCCACAACCAGTTGTTATTTGTGGACCATCAGGCGTCGGGAAGGGCACTCTCATTGGTAAGCTGATGAAGGACTTCCCTACTGAATTTGGCTTCTCTGTCAGCCACACAACTCGTCAACCCAGAAACATGGAGAGAGCTGGTGTTCACTATCACTTTACTGAGCGACCGATGATGGAAGCAGCAATCAAGGAGGGTAAGTTCCTTGAGTCCGCGGACGTTCACGGAAATTTGTACGGGACAAGTATTCTCGCCGTGGAAGCTGTTGCGGACGCAGGCAAGGTAATGTTAACCTGCGTGCTTCGTCAGCTATAATAAGAGAGTGCTATCATATATAGTTGTTGATCTATCAATAAGTTACAATTCATTTGTCATTGTCTATTGTGGTTCGAATTATTGCATCTGATGTAAACAGCTAAATGGTTCCAACTCTGTGCAGAGATGTATACTTGATATCGATGTGCAAGGTGCTGAGTTGGTGAAAAAAAGTACACTCAATGCACTGTTTATTTTCATCAGTCCACCATCGTTTCAAGAGCTCGAAGCACGTCTGCGAGGAAGGTAGGTCAGCAGCAGTGTACTTTCCCACCAAAGACCTAATACTCGAGCATAAATACCACTTCATGTTCTACAGTCAGCTTCTTAAGACATCACAGCTCCTTCTGAACTTCTGGATGTGTTTCTTATTGCAGAGGCACAGAAACCGAGGACCAAATCCAGAAAAGATTGAAGAACGCCAAAATTGAGATGGATCGTAGTACAGATACTACCCTCTTTGATCACCTAGTGATCAACGATAACATCGACGTCGCTTATGAGCAGCTCAAGGTTAGTCATTACTGGTTTCAGACCCTTTTCTGATATGTTGATGGTGACATCAGAATGATTTTATCGCCCGACGCTGTCCGTCTAGTTATGACTGGGTGTTTCTTGTGCAGAAAATTATGGGACTAGACAATGCAGCCACTTCGAATGGCTGTCATAAAAGGGGTGAGATGCTTCTCCTCAAATCTTGAGCACGCAACAACATAGAATTTCTTTCTGGGCTAGTGCGTTGAAACCAATTTTCAAGCGTCGTCAGATATTGAGCTTTGTTATGGGCGTTTTGACTATTACTAGGAATTACAGTATTCTTATCTTGCGACGAATTGCAATGCAGAGGAGTTGCAACCGGATGGTCGGTCTGGTCATTCATCTTCCGTGGTGAACTCCAAAGTTCTTGTATACGGAGGGCTAACAGATGGAGGACGGACAACCAATGAGATGTAAGCCTTGCAACTTTGTGAAGGGGGGCAAACTGTTGCCTGTACAACTGTATATCCATTTTTTCACTTGTGAGTAACAACCTGGACCTTGATACACGCAGGCTCATTTTGGATACTTCGAAGCTGACAAACGGAGCGCCGGGAACGACCCGAGGATTGGCTTGGTCAAGCGCTGTGCCCAAGTGTGATGCGAGAAAATACTTATACCTTTCGCCAACCTTGTCACCGAGATACAACCACAGGGTTGTGTCTCTGAGCCCCACGGAAATTTTGCTGTCAGGGGGCTTCGATGGCAAGCAGGCATTGAATGATAGTGTGATATTGAAAGTAGACGAAAGACTATAGCCGGATCATGTGATTTGAATAATTTATCTTTCTCAGGTTAAGGGCAACGAGGCCTTTTCCACCGATTCGATTGATTGCAGCAGAAATTCATTTATTTGTGCTGCCGGTATAGAAATGAGAGCCTGGGTCTGTGCAGGTGACCTGCATTGTTCTCGGAAATTTTGTGCTGAGAGACCTCTATTGAGGGCATAGATAATCTCCTTTCAGGTCACCGAATCAACAATGAGATTTAACTACTGTTGGTCCGCACCTCCAACTAGTTACTCTTAGTTGCTGGGTACACTGGCAAACCTGACGGCAAGTGAGAGACATACGACCATTCATGTACGCTTGCTGTGGTCATCATTCTACCACAGCACGTACAGGTCAGCCTGAATCCTTGTAAAGCATAGTAGTAACTAGTTGTCGCACTTGTCTGTGACAACTGCAAAATTTTGAAAAGTATAGCTCCGATGGGCCACATGACTGGTCACTGCTTTACTCAAAGGAGTAATTTTAGTTTTATACTCACCGAAATAAAAGCGCACACTGTTTTTATCGAAGCACTGGTTTGTTTCTTCGTACGCTCCGGCATCTCTCACCCGATACCTTCACTCGAGTCCAATCCCCATTTATTTCCATGATGTGTGACCAGGAGAGGTGAGCGATAATCGAGGGGGAGCTAATTTCTCCTGGCCTCGTCCGGCCACTCACTGGCGCATGTGGGAGCGTGAGCATTTTGTCTTTTTCGCCTTCGAGCCGTTGGGAGGTTGTGGCTGACATGTCCACCAATGAACACGCCTCGCGCGAGGGACGACGAGTTGGCGCCTTATCTGTCTCCTCAGAAGGAGCCGACGTTGTTCGTCGCGACGAACCAAGTTGGCTCTCACGCTGTCAACTCTGTCAACTCTGTTTGTCGCACCCCGTACACACTTCTCTGAAACGCAAACCCCAGATCTCTGGCGACGGACGGCTTGTGCAGCCGACGTCCACCATCTGAACACCCCGAACTTACCGCCGCGTCTGGAAGTACGGCGGTCAACTTCTGCCCCTGCACAGCGTTCAACTGATTTGTCGTCTGACAGTTTGCAAGTAGAAGCAGCTAGGGCGAAGGAGTAGTGCCACCACATCGAAGCTTGAGAAGTGGAACATCGAAAATATTGCAAGAAACTTTTGTTGCGGAAATCGGTTTAGGATGGGTCCGACGAATGGCGGAGTTTTTAGTGGAGTAGAGCCAGATGGTGGTGAATATAAAGCTATTCAAAAAACTACACCCATATGTCGTACCTCTATACCGGACTTTGTTTTCTTGATTTCTTTTATTTTTTTCGCGATCATGGAAAATTCGATCATGAATGGCGTCATGCATCATTGATGGGATTGACCCATCAATCACTTAATTATGACAACGAGGTAAGCTTTGTATGGCTTCGCAACATCGATTTCTATTTATTATTATTCTAACTGAGTTGAATTGTATATGAAATGGTTACATCATTGCATAGACTATAATTTTCATTGTTCAGTTTATGTTTTGAGTAACATAAAGTGGGAGTAGTAAATAGGAATATGTATATATATATATATATATATCATCACTCAAAAAAAATTGGAATTTGATTATGCATCTATATTCCAAAACTTTGTTTTGGAATGTGGTGAGAATGGATGTAATGAATGTGGTGAGAATGGATGTAACTTTGTCTAATGCACAAATTTACAATTGGTTCAATTAGATCCAACTTAGAAAATTATGGAGAGTTCAATAAAAAGTGAAGAAATTTTTTTAAAAGATTGAGATTTCATAGTTCACAGTTTCTCATGTGAGATGTAGTATTAGAAGTTTGTGTAACAGCATAGGGGATGAGATACAGCGTGGAGAGACTTGTATACTTATTGTTCTCGTTGCCAACTATAGCTACACCTTCCTCATCATAGTGCTGTAATGGGTATCCAATACCTACCCATACCCATGGGTGGATATTGGCTATGGGTGAGGATGGGTATGACTTACATTGAGTTCTCAAATTAAGTGTAGTTAAGAGCTCTCGGATTAGGAATAACCAAGTATTAGTGATGGACTCACGGATATGAGTTGGGTATGTATTCATGGGTAATGGGTAGGTTATGGGTATGGAAAAGTTGTCATGGGTGGGTAGTTGTAAACATAAAATCAAGATACACAAAGACATAGAAATAACGTGGTTCATCGTGCGGAAGAGGATTACGTTCATCCAAAACACTCTAAACTTGTAGTCCAAGTCTTGACATAAACACTCAATGTACAGGGCAAAAATTGGGATATTTAATTTCAATCCATGCGAGGTTACTATTTAAGTGGAGTGAAGCTCAACAATCTTCCCTTTAACCCATGTTAAGGAAACAATATCCTTTGTAACTTACAGTATGACTCCAAGGAAACTTCTAGACAGGAATCTAACGCAAGGTTCACTCTTTACACAAGAGTTAACTTGGACTAAGTCGTAGCCATAACATGATAAGGTAATAACATAAAGTGTTCACTAAAAAACTGCTATCATAGAGGAAACAAAAATTTCGTAACCTATATAATTACTTCAAAGAAATATCTAGAAAGATATCTAATAAAACGCCAATCTTTAAATGAGAGTTAACTAGAAGTAAGCCATAATCATCACTGAATAGAGTAAATATATAAAAAATAACTGAAAAATACTATGCTAACAAATTTTACCTTTGCACAACTTGCATAGTAGTTCACTCTTGCCTAAAATTCCCCAAAGAAATAACTTTGGCCAATGCATCAACTGGATTAAGTGTACAATCAATTCTGACTAGCTCAATAACTAGAGTTTATCGTCAAGATAGACTAGCTCAATCACCAAAATCTACCGTCAAGATTAACTAGCTCAATCAATAGAGTTTATTGTCCATCTTGACTAGTACAATCATTTTTCAGACACTCTTGTCTAAAAAAATAACTGATATCGTTGTGTTTCACTGTACTGTACATAATTTGTGAACCCGACATACAACCAAGTCACCTTTGAGGTGATAACCGACTTGGACCCAAATAGATGGAAATAAATTATTTCTTTTTTACTTAGCTTTTGGTTGTCGTTGGAACCATAACATGTACAGATGTGAAAAATCCATAAGTTTCTATTTTACTTTCAGTTTTTGGTGCAACCTTAACCTGGATATTAGACGACAGTAGCATTGAGCGCAAAAACATGAGATGGTCGACCTTGGAAGGGTGCAACTGATTGCATTTTTTGCTGATCGTGTTCCGAAAAGTTACTCTCAGATATTGCGCTAGATGCTGGAATGGCCACCATAGAGCGTACCAGTCAAGAAAGTACAAGAAATTTGTTTTGATGTATCTTCCACCAAAATAAAATTTCGTATTAAGATAAAACTGTGCTTTCATAGCCGCTAAACTTGTGACAAATATAGTTGTTGAGTTCTGTCATGAAAGCAAAATCAAGCTGCATGTCATCAGCGAGAGTCTTTTCATCGATGGCACTATCCCTCTCAAAACTAAACTCAACAAGACGACGCGCGACATGTAGATTGTCATGTTTCTGTTTCTTATGGGATCGCACATTGTACTTGTTGATGCTAGAGCCAATCATATGATCTTTCATCAAATTTTTTAGATTTTTTTTGCCAAGCTCAATATCGGCGGAGTAGATGTCAAACTTGTCGATACGACACTTGGTTTTAGGATTGAGTATGGTGGCAATGACATGAATCTCGCTCCAAACAAACTTATTCCTAATCAATTCTGCAAATTTTGGCTTTAAGGCGATGACTGCGGAAGAGTCCTTCTTCAATATGGTTATCATGCCATTTTTCTCCTTGATGGTAATATCCGTCGTAATAATCTAGCAATGCTTTAGCAGATTCTGCTAAAATGAGGACTCTGCGTAGCGTAGTCTTCGCAAACTCTTCCAGAGCTAGGGTGGACTCCAGAAAGGGCACTAGAAAAGCAATGAATTCCTTGAGAAGTTCGTGATCAATCTTTGTGACATTGGAAACCAATCCTCGACCTCATGCACATAATATCTCAGTCAATTCCGAAAGTGCCTAGTTGACGTTAATCACGCAACAGAGAGCATCACATTTTTCTGCTTGAGGGTCTTTGTAATCTCATCTTGAAGATTTGCTTGTTTGACATATGTCACAAGAGCTTTGACATGATCAATAGTATCAAACAACGGCTAGATGTTAAAACTCATTGAAGGGAGCAAATTTCTTACCTTCGATCATACGAGTTCTTTTGTCCATAATCGTCGTTAGAATGGTATCAATGATGTGATCACAACACGGTATCAAATCATAGAGACTAGGAATGTCATCTGCATAGTGCATATTCGAGCTTCGATCGGTGACAACTGTGACTTCATCATAGCTATTGATGCCAAATTTCCGTATTACGCCCTCATATTTTTCCAGGATGTCGGATCCGTGATGCGGCACAGGAAACAAATTGCATGCAAACGTGCGGTAATGCAGAGTGAACTCGTCATCGATGAGATGCGCAGTAACCGACAGGAAAGTGACCTTGTTGATGTCATCGATCCAAATATCAGTTGTGCTGCCAATCCGAATTACTTCCGTTAGATGTGACTTCAAGGCGGCAGTCAATACTTCCGGTCCAGCATTAGATTGGATCTACACATTGCCACTGATCGTGGCTGGATTAGAAAGAATATTGTTCACAAGCATGTTCATCTTAGAGTTGATTCAAATGTTGAAGACGGTGTGCGTATAGTTCCTCAACCCGCTGCACTTTGCAATATGAAATGGACACATGTCAACAACGCACATATCCGCCAACGCCACGATGATGAGTTTCTTCTTAGTTGTAGTAGCATCCCGGCGCGTTGTTCTAGATGTCATCACTTGATTAGTCTCTCCATGCGCACATGAGTGTTTGGACATGATAGGGATTCGATTCACTACTCTATATTGATAAACAATGAGAAATTTGTTGCAGCAAACAAAAAAATTATCACTATAACAAAGATATTTGCCAGTCTCCTTGATTGCAACAAAAAAAATGATGTCCAAACATTTGTCCTAGCTTTACGGTTTTTCATTCGATAATGAGGACCGTACTTTATTTGCCGATCCGCGATGATTTTTGCTTTCAAGGTGAGCATATCTTTGAATGTCATCTCAATTGTCATCATTTGCTATGACAATCATCGAGAATGGCGGTCCGCCACTCCCGATGATAAGAACAAGTGCAATCCGCACTTTGTGCAGTGACCAAGAAGTCAAGAAATCCTCCACGACCAGCTTACGGAATAACCATAATTTCCATATTTAAATAGAACCCTACTCGAAACCATCTTACAAAAAGTTCAACTTGTACACAAACCAAATCTTTCCTAGCTTGGTACTAAACCGATCCATACCCATCGTTTCGAGCAGGTATTGTTTGCGTTTCGGGTATAGGTACCCAATGCAAGTTTCTGCAGTGTACGCAATTTACCGTTGCTCGCGACCATTGTCAATCTCAACAATGTACCGTCATCTTCACCGTCAAGTGTCCGCCAACTGTAGTTC